CTTTCTTCACAGCATCCTTTGTATGTTATGGAACATCCTCTTTGATGGTAATATCGTGATCATCTTCATTTCCAGGTTTGATAACTTCCTGATCACCTGTTACACTGACATTAAACACTAACCCACTATCCTCTGCAGATACTTTGGTTACTGCCAATTGTGTAGCATAAGCCCATGAGAAAGAGCAGCACTTCATACAGGCCTGGCATACCATTTCTTAGAAATCCCCACTCTCAGGGGGAATGGCACTTCCATGGAACCAGTCTTCTTACACTACATACTGGAACATCTCATCTGGAATTTCATTTTCAGGATCAGGGTAAGGTCTCTTACAAATGCAGTACAATCCAAAAAAGTTATCATTATAATTATTGCCAGAATTTATCTTTGCATTGTCAGGAAATAATTTGCATTCCAATTTTTTAAACTTGCTGTTTCCTCAGTCATAATGAAAATTTCTTTTTGTGTATAGTTCAAATACTTTATGACTTCCATGACATTCAAAATTGCAAGCTAGGCAAATTCCTGCTGGTTCTTCTCTTGCAGGGGTGCAGGTACTAACTACAGGTATATGGTGCTTGTCTCTTTATTGTGCTGCAAATAGGAACACTTCTTGGGGTCGCTGCCGGCCAGTATGACACACACCTCATTTTCCAACTCTTCCTCGACCAGCCAGCAATACTATGGGCTCCAGCCATCCTCAGCTTTGCTCTGGTGGAGGCAGGAAGAGTGGCCACGAGGGGCGTGGCTTTGGGTTTCTTTTGATATATATTGAGAAGTGGTGGGCTATACGGCAATTCTAATTTTAATTTTTTTTCCAGGAATCTCCATACTGTAGTGGCTGCATCAATCTGCGTTCCCACCAACAGTTCACAAAGATATACATTGTATTTACCCATAGTTTTGTTTGCTATAACCTTCTTTCTTCCAAGGTTTCTTCTTTGATCTTTTCCCTCCGTTAGATACCATCTTTTAGGTATTAAGTTCTCTGATGACCAATTCTCTTAGTTTCATTCATTTGAAAATGTCTGGATTTCTCCTTATTCTTTTTTTTTTTTTTTTTTTTTTTTTTTTTTTTTTTTTAAATATATTTTATTGATTTTGTTCAGAGAGGAAGGGATAGAGATAGAGAGCTAGAAACATCGATGAGAGAGAGTCATCGAACAGCTGCCTCTTGCACACCCCCTACTGGGGATATGCCCGCAACCAAGGTACATGCCCTTGACCAGAATCGAACCCGGGTCCCTTCAGTCCCCAAGCCGACGCTCTATCTATTGAGCCAAACCGGTCTCGGCATGGATTTCTCCTTATTCTTGAAGAATATTTTCACTACATATAAGATTCTGGGTTGCCAGTCCTTTTCTTTCAGGACTTGAAATTTATTGTGCTATTTTCTTCTGGCCTCAAAGATCACTAATGATAAAATTTAGGTCATTTGAATGTTTTATCCCCTACAGGTAAAAGTTATTGTTCTTTTGTTTGTCAAGATTTTTTATTTGTCTTGGTTTTCAGAAATTTAGTTATGTGCCTGCAGGAAGCCACCACTTGCCAACACTGTCATGAGTGTGCACCAAGGAATTCTAGAGTCCGATGGACCTTGAACATTAGCAGGGCTAACGCTAGGCACTGATTGTTCGTGTTGAGATAGCAGTGGCTCCAAGCAATGTCCTGACTTAATGGCCTCCAAGTAAATGTTTACTGGACCTTACTGATCTTTACTGACCTTTGAGGCGGTCTGTCTGGCTATCTGTTGCCATGCTTTACTGAGGGCAAGTGGTATATCTAAAACTGAATAAAAAGCAGATAAGGCTAGGTCTTGGCATGTCTCTTCAAGAAAGAAGCTCCACCTGGCCCCAATGCTTTCTAAATTCATATTTCTTGTATAGCATTGGCCCTTCCTTCAGATCCTGAACCTCACCACAAAGGTCATGGTGTGTGTCTTCTGTGAAATTCTGTAAAAAACTAAAAGACCTGCTTGTAGTTTGCCCAACTTCTTGATATATAAGTTTATGTCTTTTGTCAAGTATGGAAAGTTTTCAGCCATTATTTCTTTGAGAATTCTTAGTCTATTTAGTGTGTGTTGTTGTTTTTTTTATTGCTGAGGCTTTCAATTTTTCTGTTTCAAGCACGTTCATAATTGGTTATTGAATCATATTTATCGTATTTTACCATTAAAGACTTTGGCAGATAATCTAACATCTGTATGGCTTCTGTGTTGCCAAGTATTGATTTTCTTTTTTATTTACTTTGAGATTCTGGTTCTTGGTATGATGAATATTTTTTAAATGAAATCTGGAATTTTTGTATGATATTGTGAGTCTGTTTTAGCCTTATTATTATTATTATTGTTATTGTTATTATTATTTTACACAGCTTTAACAAGAAAAAGGGGGAAGTGCTGCTTAGGTGTACCTAAGGTAGAGGTGGAAGTCCAGGCTCCCCTCTTGGCCTTCATTAACCCCCGAGGTGGGAGAGCTCATTAATTCAGGTTAGAGAGTTCCCATTCTCACTGACACCACAGTGGGTGGTTTTGTTATCACTCTACAATAGTGAAAGTATTAACTATTAGGCCTCTCCTGACACTACCTCATTATTTCTGGGTTGGGGCAGAAGTCCAGACTCCCCATGTGACTTTCACTAAGACCGAGGGAGGAGGGCACCCATTGACAGTCACTGGGAATAAGATTTTCAGTGTCCTTCTCTGACATCACTCTTCCTTAAGAAATTATTTCCATATCTATAGCTACATATTGAAAACCATGTCTTTATACCAGTACTTAATTCTAATTAAGAGAAAACTTTAACATTCTCTTTTTTTATCTTTTAACTCCTTCCCTGATATAGAGAAATCTAGTTCACACTATTTTTATTTTTTATTATTTATTTATTTTAATTACATTTTATTGATTTTTTACAGAGAGGAAGGGAGAGGACAGAGATAGAGAGCAAGAGACATCGACCAGCTGCCTCGGGCACATCCTCCACCAGGGATGTGCCATAACCAAGGTACATGCCCTTGACCGGAATCGAATCTGGAACCCTTCAGTCCGCTGACCGACCCTCTATCCACTGAGCCAAACCGGTTTTGGCTAGTTCCCACTATTTTTAATATATTTACTTATTTGCTCAAAATTTCTTACAAGGTTTTGAGAGATGGTAGAATATATTTTGTTAGTATTCTACAGAAAGAAGTGAAAGTGTCCTGAGGATAGTCACTTCCCTTTCTAATTCTCACAAGGGCCTTTATAAACTTAGGGTAGCCCTGGCTCTGCCCCAGAGGAAATGTTCTGGGAGAACATATGGGAAGCTGCTAGGGTTGCCAGGGTTATAGCACATGTCATTGGGGGTTTTAATAGGTGAGTCATGGAAAGTGGCAATGATGATTATAGCTTACATTTGCTTAACATTTTCAGGTGCTTTCACTTACTTACCTTACTTGTCCCTAACTATAACTCTATCAGATAGTCGGGGGATTCATTATTAGCTGAATTGTGATAGGCTCAGTAATGGCCCTCTGAAAGATATTTAGTTCCTAACCCCTGGAACCTGTAAATGTTACCTTAGATAGCAAAAGAACTTTGTTGATGCAATTAAACCGAGGACCTTGAGATGGGGTGATTATTCTGGATTATGTTGGACCCTTAATGTACATGTATCCTTATAAGAGTAAAGATTTGACAGAGAAGAGAAGGAGGCAGAAATTAGAGTGAAGTGGCCGAAACCGGTTTGGCTCAGTGGATAGAGCGTCGGCCTGCGGACTGAGAGGTCCCGGGTTCGATTCTGGTCAAGGCATGTACCATGTTGAGGGCATATCCCTAGTAGGGGATGTGCAGGAGGTAGCTGGTTGATGTTTTTCTCTCATCGATGTTTCTAACTCTCTATCCCTCTCCTTTCCTCTCTGTAAAAAATCAATAAAATATATTTTTAAAAATTAGAGTGAAGTGGACACAGGCTAAAGAGTACCAGTAGCTATTAGAAGCTGGAAAAGGAAAGGAACAGATTTCCCCATAAAGCTGCCAGAGGAGTGTAGCTCTACTTATACCTTGAATGCGGTCATCAATTTTCGGGCTCCAGAACTGAGATTTTTAAAGCCACCAAATTTGACATCAATTTTTATAAATGTGGACCCTGAAATTTCAGACCATACAGCCAGCAGGTGGCGGAGCTAGAATTTAAATCCAGGTTCACTGACTTTAAATCCAATGGCCAGTGACGGTGGCTGCCTCCTCCCTTACTGAACCACCACTTCCCCCACACCCTAACCACCCACTCTCCCTTAAAACAGAGAGGCTAGTAGGAAGAGTAAGTAGTTGTCATCTTTGGGTGCTCATTAAAAACAGGGGAACTTTTCCGGCCGGCATGGCTCAGGGGCTGAGCATCTACCCACGAACAGGAGGTCAGGGTTCCATTCCCGGTCAGGGCACAGGCCTGGGTTGTGGGCTCCATCCCCAGTGTGGGGCATGCAGGAGGCAGCCGATCCATGATTGTCTCTCATCATGGATGTTTCTCTCTCTCTTCCTCTCCTTTCCTCTCTGAAATCAATTAAAAAATATTTAAAAACAGACAAACAACAACAGGGGAACTTTTACAAAATACTGCTGTAGGTTCCACCCCAGACAACAGAATTACATATATTCTTTGATGGTGGGGCCCATGCAAAGGTATTTTTAAAAGCTCTCCAGTAGTTCCGGTTAAGATTACACAGGTGGAGACGCTGGTTGTCCCTGCACTACATTTCACTAGTTATAACAGCTGCTTTCTGGCCGCAGGTCGGACAGTGAGGCTGCGGGGGCCCAGTTCCAAGGCTCGGAGCGCGCTCCACGCCCGCCCGGCCCGCTCTGCCGGGCCCCCCGCAGCTGCAGGGCCGCGGCCGCGGGCGGGTTAACTGCAGGCCCCGCCCCGGCGGCCCGGGGGCGGAGCGCGTCCCGAGCGGCTGCGTCGCCGGCCGCGGCGCTTCACTGCGCCTGCGCGGGCGCCGAGGGGTCGGGTCGGACTCAGAAATGGCGGCCTCCATGTTCTCTAGCCGGCTGTGGGCCGCCGCCACCCTGAGGAGCTGCCCGCCCCGGACGGCGCTGCGGGCCGCCGCCCAGGTACGGAGCCCCGGCCCGCTCTTGCTTTGAGGGTCGGCAGGAGAGAGGGCGAGGCGGGCGACGCGGCTCCCGTGGGCGAGGCGTGCAGGGACCCGAGGCCGGACTCGGGGTCACTTCTCCGGCGGTGACATTGGCTGAGGCGGGGCGCCCGCCGGGCAGCGCTGGCTGCCGGGGCGGCGAGCCGGCTCTTGTTGGCGTCGCTTCGCCCGGGCCCTCAGTCCGCGAGGAGCCCGGCGGCCGGCGGCAGCCGCTCCCCCCGCGTCCTCCCTGCGCGGGGCCCACGGCGCCCGGCCCCGCGGGAGGGGACGCCCTTCAGACGAACTTTGGGCTCCTTGGGAGCCGCCGTGGGTGGCCGGGGCAGCGGTGCCTGCTGACAGGGCTTTTCTGGGACGAGGCAGCCAAGTTTCTTCCCTTCCCCCAGGAGCCGCGTTCCTGTCTGTTGGTTAATTAGTGGTAATGAGATGGTGTGTACGAGGTTTCCAAATGGGGAAGGAAGTCTTTTGGATCACTTCACGTTTGAGTAGATGATAACATAATGGCCTCAGGTTTTGCTTTGCTTGAGTGTTTCCCGGGTGCCAGGCAGTCTAGGCTTTTCAGCAACACAGTAAGGGAGTCAGCTACCTTTGCATCATTGATGAAGAAACTGTTGCCAAGAGAACAAGTAATTTGGCTTGGGTCAGGACGTAGGTAAGGTCAAAGCTTAGGTTTCATTCCAGAACCGAATGGCTTCAGAGCTTGTGTGCTTGAACCTGCTCCTCGGTGTTTTTCCAGAGCATAAGAATTGGCCGGTTCTTCTCAAGGACAAAACCTGTGGAAGGGCACAGTTGGCTTTGTAAGCCAGTCATGTTCTGAAGTAACTCCTCAGGCGTGCCATAAATGAATTGATTTTCTTTTAAAAGCTATTCACACTTTCAATCTACAGGTAGTGAATCCCATGAGCTTGCTTCCTAATAAAAGTGTTGTTTTTTTGGCCTTGAACTTCCTTATGAGTCGTAAAGGGTGCTGTCTAGTTTTTAGAATATGTTTTCATCCTAATCATAGTCTTTTGGAAATTCCTTTGTAAGCTTTTATGTCTCCATATGGAGATGCCTAACGTACTGTCTTAATAACACCTCTTCTACTCTCACATTAAGTAATGTAGCTTTAGCCGAGACCGGTTTGGCTCAATGGATAGAGCGTCGGCTTGGGGACTGAAGGGTTCCGGGTTCGATTCCAGTCAAGGGCATGTACCTTGGTTGCGGGCATATCTCCAGTAGGGGGTGTGCAAGAGGCAGCTGATCGATGACTCTCTCTCATCGATGTTTCTAACTATCTCTCTCCCTTCCTCTCTGTATAAAATCAATAAAATATATTGAAAAAAAAAAAAGTAATGTAGCTTTAGAGTTTGGAAGGACCTCAGAAGTCTGTCCTCTTGCTTTTGTAGATGAGGACACAGAGGTGCGGTCAGGGTCTTAGAAAACTTTTTCAAGATCACACATTGAATTTCGCTGGAAAGGATTATCAAAGTATTTTAGAGTGGTATAAATACTTAACGTGGTATGAAAGCTATCAGCAGTATTCTATGTTTACTACTAATTCTCTGTAGTGTTTGAAAGAAACCATACAAATATACAGAAGTTTCCTCTTATCCATGGATGATACGTTCCAGGACCCTCACTGGACATCTAAAACCATGGGTAGTACCAAACCCTTATTTATATATTGTTTTTCTTTTACACGTACACTAGAGGCCTGGTGCATGAAATCCATGCGTGGGTGATGATGTCTCTAGGCCTCGCTGGTGATCAGGGCCTATTTGGGCCATCTTGCCAGTCCTGATCAGGAGCTGGCTGACTGGTGCGCCTGCCTGATGAGGGGGGCAGGACTGTGGGAGGTTGGCCAGCTGGCCAGGGGGGAGGGACCTGGGGAGGTTGGCTGGCTTCAGGAGGTTGGTTGTGGGAGCACACTGACCACCAGGGGGCAGCTCCTGCATTGAGCATCTGCCCCCTGGTGGTCAGTTCAGTGTGCACTATAGTGACTGGTGGACCAGTGGTTCGGTCGTAACTGTCACTAAGCTTTTATATATATATAATATGTATATATGTGTGTACACACACACACACACACACACACACACACACACACACACACGAGACCTGTTGCAGGAATATTCCTGCAAGACTTCCAGCAGGCTTCCTCCTGCCAACACCACCTCTCCTGCCCCCCCCCCCCCAACTCTCCTACTGAGACGGGCCGGGTGGGCACCCACCACCTCAAGGCCATGTGTGCCACTGCTGCATGTCGTGCCCTGCCCCGCCCCAAAGGCACTGCCGGTGCTTTCCCTTCAGCAGCTGCTGCCCCCTTGCTTTCCACTTTCCCTCCCTCTTCCTTCTATGCTGTCTTCAGTTACCCCTCCCTCCCTTCCTCCATGTATGCAAATTAACTGCCATCTTTGTTGGGTTAATTTGCATACTCTGATGGCTGTAGTGGAGTGATGGTTAATTTGCATATTACTGTATTATTAGGTAGGACTAGATACCTATGGTAAAGTTAATTTATAAATAGGCACAGTAAGAATGACAACAATAACTAATAGTACAATAGAACGGCTATAAAAAAAAAACTTAATAGCAGTTAGGTGAGAGGCTTTGAAGCCATTATTAAGTAAAATAGGAGTTACTTAAAAGTTAGCACTCTGATACCATGACAGATTTGATAACCAAGATGTCTATTAAATTCCTAATGGGTGGGCACAGTATGCAACATGGATATGCTGGACAAAGGGATGAATTCACATCCCAGGCTGGATGGAGCTGGACAGTGTGAGATTCATCTTGCTCATCTTGCTACTTGGAATGGCGAGCAATTTATTTATTTTATTTTTTTATTTTAGAGAGAAAGAGGAAGGAGAGAGAAACGTAAATTTGTTGTTCAACTAACTTATGCTTTCATTGGTTAATTCTTTTGTGCCCTGACAGGGGATTGAACTTGAAACCTTGGTGTATTCGGACAATGCTCTAACCAACTGAGCTACCTAGCTAGGGCTAAATGGCAAGCAATTTAAAACTTAAAATTGTTTATTTCTGGAATTTGCCATTTAATATTTTCAGGCTGAGCTTGACCATTAGTTTTTTACTGAAACTACAGAAAGTGAAACCATCATGGATAAGGGGTGACTCCTGTGCCAGTTAAGGGAATTATTTAGAAAGAATGTCTTACAGTTGATGTTGCACATCAGTTCTCTGATATGATACTTGTAGGTTTTTAGATCTTTGGAGAATGTCTACTGGGCCAATTCCTTTGAGAGAGTGCAGAAAAAGAATTGAATGAGGAAGAAGTAAAACCGTGCAGTTGCAGTAGGGGCCTCTGCTGTTCTTATGGGAGATCTGCAACTAAGATATTCTTTCTGAATTGTCACAAATTGGAGTGAGGTATCAGATTTTTATATCCCTCCTTTAAACCCCATTGACCAATGATTGGATGCAGGCTGACAATATAAAGGAGGTGTGACTTTGGGTTAGGATGCTCCAATGACAGGACTCATCAGAGAGCTGGCACCACCAATACTCCCAGCAGCTAGGGCAGTGAAAGCTTCCATGCTAAGGGAGGATCTGGACAATAAATACACCACAATATCCAATACAGGGCTTTGGCTCTTAAAAACAAAACACAACACATTTTTATTTTATTTGTTTATTTATTTTTTTTACTGATTTCAGAGAGGAAGGGAGAGAGAGAGAGAAACATCAATGATGAGAGAGAATCATGGATCTGCTGCCTCTTGCACACCCCACACTGGGGATCAAGCCTGCAACTTGGGCATGTGCCAGGCAATTTGTTAGGTGCTGAAGGAATGGTGGAGAGAAGAAAGTTGAGAAGGATTTTTGATTTGTTAGGCAGATAAGATTGGTTTTACATCTGAATTTGGCCTTGAGGTTAGCAATGCTTTGAATATCACTAGAGATGTGGTAGGAAAGCTCAAATGAAAGATAAGGACTAGAGATGATGAGGAGGAAGGGTAAAACCACAAGGGTAACATTTGACATTTAGCTGCCAGATTAGCTTTTAATTTTAAATTGTAAATTACATACTGTGAATGTTATATTTTATTTAGTGTAATAGGTTTATAACAGCTATGAAGAACCAAGTACTATATAGAGACAAAGAATTTTGAGGTGTTTTTAACAATAATAATTGCCAATTTTATATCATATATAATTATATCCCCAATTTCTTTAGGTTCTGGGAAGTTCTGGATTGTTTAACAACCATGGACTCCAAGTACAACAACAACAACAAAGGAATCTCTCACTACATGAATACATGAGTATGGAATTGTTGCAAGAAGCTGGAGTCGCCATTCCCAAAGGACAGGTGGCTAAATCACCAGATGAAGCTTATGCAATTGCCAAAAAATTAGGTACTAAATTTAAAAAACTCATGCTACCTTGACATGGCAGCTCTGATAAGATGTGAATTGTACTTTTGATTTAATAACAACTTTTAGTTTTAGATTAATATGGCTTTAAATGTGCTTTGGTGAAGACTAAACTTTTTTTTAATGTGATTTCCTTGACTTGAAAGCATGATTTTTCATTTACAGTATTTTTTTGTTAATCTGAAAAAATTCTTTATATTCATATTACAAGCCAACTAATTTTTATTTAGCAAAAGCCTTGTAAACATTCATACTGATTTTGGTGAAATTTTTATTAATTAACGGTGACCTGTAGTTTGAACTTAACATGGTAAGTGATGTACCTCATTTTTACCTTTGAAACAATCTATACTAATAAAAGGGTAACATGCTAATTAGACCGGAGTCTTCTGGATGTCCTTCCAGACAAAGCCACAGCCGTGAGAGCCGGGCGGAGGCTCAGGCAAGCTGCTGATGGCGGCGGCTGCTGCTGCTGCTGCGAGGGCCGGACCGAAGCTTAGGCAGCCGTTGTGGCTGCGAGGACTGAGGCTCAGGCAGCTGTGGCCACCGTCAGTGGCAGCAACATTGGTGTGATCAGGGCGTCACCTTCCCCACATTGGCCCAGTTGCCTCCCACAGAGGGAGGCCAGAGGCAGCAGCACTGAGGGGGTAATGAAGATAGTGCCTTCCCCTAATGGGCCGGTCGCCTCTCACAGAGGAAGGCCAGAGGGAGGACATCTCCTGAAGGCTCTTGGACTGTAAGAAGGGGGCAGGCTGCCAAAACCAGTTTGGCTCAGTAGTAGAGCATCGGTCTGCGGATTGAAAGGTCCCAGGTTCGATTCCAGTCAAGGACATGTACATTGGTTGCGGGCACATCCCCGGTAGGGGGTGTGCAAGAGGCAGCTGGTCGATGTTTCTCTCTTGTTTACGTTTCTAGCTCTCTTATCTCTCTCCCTTCCTCCTTTCTGTAAAAAATATCAATAAAATATATTAAAAAAAAAAAAAAAGAAGGGGGCAGGCTGAGCTGAGGGGACACCCCCCCATCCCCCAGTACACGAATTTTCGTGCACCAGGCCTCTAGTGTATATATGAGTCTCTTAAGGGTCAAGGCTTAAAGAAAACGAATGATTATACTTCATATATCTATAGTATTTCTTGCAAAGATTACTTTTTTAATAACTATTTTGAGATTCAATCTTATATGTATGACCTAAATGTTAATATCTGAAGAAGATCTTGCCGTAATCGGTTTGGCTCAGTAGATAGATAGTCAGCCTGTGGACTGAAGGGTCCCTGGTTCGATTCCAGTCAAGAGCATGTACCTTGGTTACGGGCACATCCCTAGTAGGGGGTGTGCAGGAGGCAGCTGATCGATGTTTCTCATCTATGTTTCTAACTCTCCCTTTCCCTTCCTCTTTGTAAAGATCAATAAAGCATATTTAAAAAAAAAAAAAAACACACCTAGCTTAGAAGGAAGGAAAACTTGGAAATGTAATTGAAAAAGTATAAGTTTTTCTAATTCTAAGGATGAATTGTGCCCGTAAGGATGAATTTCCAATCATTTGACTTTCTTTTTCTATTTTTGTTAGTCTGATTTCTTGAATGATTTTGTTGTTGTTGTTTTACCACTGTTTTCCTTCATAATAATGCTGAATGTTTTTCATACCAATATAACTAGGTCCTGATTTATATACAATGAAGTCAGTAAAAGTTATTGATGTGAGAGACACATCAATTGGTTGCTTCCCAAATTGGTCTCACCTGGGCCAGGGATCTGTGTGTGTTCTGATGCTCTAACCAATAAGTCAGCTAGGGCTAGAAAGTGAGTTCTTGTTAAAGAACACTACAAATGAAGATTATAGTGGGATTAATAACTATCGGGTCTAGTAATAATTAATGTCGTTTTAAAACATTCGTTTAAAATCTTGCTTGGCGTTGACTTGTATTGACATAACCTTCAAACATGTGGTATCTACAGAACGTGTGAAGTGCAATTAACAAGTTTTGCTTGAAAAAGTTTGTGTTTGGTTTGGTTTTTGTTGCAAAACTAGGGCTAAGATGGCGGATGAAGAGCATATTCGGCAATGCATACTTTACAAGTTCCAATTAGGAAGAAAAGCAAGTGAGGCTGCAAAAAACATCTGTAGTGCTCTTGGTCAAGATGCAGTTAGCGCCAGAAAATGCCAGCATTGGTTTGAGAAATTTCGCGAGGGAAATTTTTCGTTAGATGACAAGAGTGGTCGAGGCCGTGTGTCCAATTTTGATCAAGAAGCTCTTCAAGCTCTTTTGGTGCAAAATCCTCAAATTACCCAACAAGAGCTTGCGACAACTTTAAATTGTTCACAAAAAAACAATTTCCAATCAATTGTGTGCACTTGGCAAAGTCCAAAAGTTTGGAAAATGGGTTCCTCATGAGTTGACCGACAACAACCGTAATCAAAGAGTCACAATTTGCAGTTCGCTCCTCTCTCGTCAAAACCGTTTGCCGTTTTTAGAGCAAATTGTTACCGGAGATGAAAAATGGGTGCTGTATGTTAATTTGAAAAGGCGGCCTCAATGGTTGGACAAAAATGAGGCTCCGCAGCCCATGCCAAAACCTGACTTGCATGCGAAAAAAGTGATGTTGTGTGTTTGGTAGAATTTTAAAGGAATTCTTCATTATGAACTTTTACCATTACAAGTGCAGTGTATAGTGCCCAATTGGAAAGGTTAGCCCAAGCTTTAAGAGAAAAAGAACCCGCGCTGATTAATTGGAAGGGCGTAATTCTTCACCACGATAACGCACGACCGCATACTGCAAGAATCACTGCTGAAAAACTGCGCCAGTTGGAATGGGAAGTTCTCCCTCAACATGCATATTATCCTGATATTGCCCTTTCCGATTACCATTTGTTTCATTCTTTGCAAAACTTTCTTCTTGGAAAAAAATTTAATAATGAAGAATGCCTCAAAAATGCATTGACTGAATTTTTTGCATCAAAATCGTAAGAATTTTACAACAGAGGGATTAAAATGCTTCCTGAGCATTGGGCACAAGTAGTAGAAAACAACGGCAACTATATTGTTGATTAAATTTTGTTGTATTGTTTAAATAAATTCGATTTAAAAGTATTAGAAAACGACATTTATTATTACTAGACCTAATAATAAGGACCTTTAAATGTAGAGGAACAGAAGCTACTTTTTTGTAATCCTCACCTGAGGATGTTTTTATTGATGTGAGAGAGAGAAGAAAGGAAAGAGAGTGAGAGAGAAAAACATCAATCAGTTGCCTCCTGTATGCACGCTGATGGGATTGAACCCGAAACCTGGGTGAATCAAATTGAACCCTCCACCTTTCTATGTATAGGGTGACACTCCAACAACTGAGCCACACTGACCAGGGCTAAGGGTAGATATTTTTAATAGCATATAATAGGACTTTGCCTTCTTTTTTCTTGTTTTTAAAATAATTTTTTATTTTTCAGTTACAGTTGACAGACAATAGTATATTTGTTTCAGCTTTATAGCATAGTAATTGCTCATTTATATAACTTACAAAGTTATTTTCCTGATAAGTCTAGCACCCATCTGACATTATACTAAATCGTAACAAAATTGACTGTATTTTCTGTACATTCCCATGACTTGTTTTTATAACTGGCAATATGTACATCTTAATGCCTTCTCCTTTTTTACCCATCCTACACCTCCCTCCCATATGACAACTGTCAAAATGTTCTCTATGAGTTCATTTCTATTTTGTTTTTTTGTTTTTAGTTTCCATATGTAAATAACATTATATTGCATTTGTCTGTCTTTGACTTATTTCACTTAGTATAATACCTTCTAGGTCCATCTGCTTTGAAAATGCCAATATTGGGGGGGGGGGGACACACACAATGGTATATGTACACAGATAATAATTTAATTAAAAAAATTAAAAAAGAAAATGCCAAGATGTCATTAGTTTTTTTATGGCTGAGTAATATTTCATGTACATATGTACCACATCTTTGCCTATTTATCTATTAATGGACATTAAGATTGCTTCTATACCTTGTCTATTATAAATAACTAGAGGTCCAGTGCATGAATTCGTGCATGTGTGGCCAAGGGCCAATCGGGATGGTGGGGGCTGATTGGGGGTGGGGCCAGCCAGGGGGAGGGGCTGCAGGCAGTTGGCCGGCCAGCCCTGCCCCTGATTGGGGGGGGGGGACGGTTGGGAGCAGAGCTGGCTGGTGGGGGGGTCCGGTGGGCTTATTAGGGTGGTGGTGGACCCTTGGGGGCAGGCCAGGTGGAGGGGCCACAGGCAGTTGGCTGGCTGGCCTTGCCCCTAATGGGTATGGAGGGTCCCATCTGGGGTGGGACCCAGTATGGGGAGGGGCTTCAGGAGGTTGGCCAGCTGGCCCTGCTCCCTATTGGAGTAAGGGGCAATTGGGAGTGGGGCCAGCCAGGGGGAGGAGCAATATTTATATTAGAAAACATTAGACTACAAAATAGGCTATAGAAAGAGACAAAGAAAGACTCAGCAATTCCACTTCTGGATATTTATCCAAAGAAACCAAAAACACTGATTCAGAAAGATATATAAATCCCTATGTTTACTGCAGCATCTCTATATATAAAAGCCAGCAACCAGAACACTGTAACAACCAGAATGACCAGTCGCTATGATGCCCACTGAGGTCAGCGAACCAGCTCAATTATGGGTGGGGCCGGGGGCCAACATGCCTTGGCCACTCCCCCCAGCCAGCCCCACCCCCAACACCCCACCTACCCCACTAGGGGGTGGGGCAGGCCAGCCAACTTCCTGCAGCCCCACCTCCAATAGACCACACTCCCAATGGGCCTCTACCACCATGATTGGCTTGTATGTTTATTGACTTTGCCAGGTTAGGGAACTTTTCTGTCATTATTACTTTAAATACATTTTCAACATTTAGCTCTCTCCTCCTTCTGATATGCCTATATGAATGTTGTTACACTTAATGTTGTCCCAGAGGCATTTATTATAAATCAGTGGTCGCCAACCTTCTGGACCTCACGGACCACCAGTGGGCTGCAGACCACCAGTTGGCAACTGCTGCCTTAAACTATCCTCTTTTTTTTTTTTTTTTTCTATTCTGATTGGGTGTTTTCTGCAACCTTGTCTTCCAAGTCATTGATTTGATTCTGTGCTTCATATAATCTGTTGATTCCATCTAATATAGTCTTCATTTCAATTATTGTATTCTTAATTTCTGACTGGCTCTTTTATGTTCATCTCCATTTTTACGTTTTCTGTCTCTTTGTTAAAGTTCTCATTGGGTACATCTGTTCTTCTCCTAAGGTCATTGAGCATCCTTATGACCACTGATTTGAACTCTGCATCTGATAGATTGCTTGTTTTGGATTTGTTTAGTTCTTTTTCTGGAATTTTGTTTTATGCTTTCATTTGTCTCCTCATTTTAACTCCTTCCCTGTCTTTATTTCTATGTATTAGGTGGATCTGCCATGTCTCCTCATTTGGGCAGGTTGGCCTTATGTAGTAGGTGTTCTATGTGGCCCAATGGCACCATATGCCTGGTCACTTGGGCTGGGTGCCCTGGAGTGTCCCTTGTGTGGGTTCTTGGGCCCTCTTGTTGTTGAGCCTTGATTTCTGTTGTTATGTCAGTGGATTGGATTGACCCTCAGGCTAACTTGCTGTGAGGACTGGCCATGAGTATAATGGACAAGCTGTTGTTTGGGACTTTGGTATCTCCTGAGTCCACACTTTGGGAGTGTTGTCTGTGGAAACTGGGAGGGGGTTGGTGCTCTAGACATTTGACTTTGCTCTGGGGCCTCTTGGAAGGGGCTCTGGTGCAATCTAAGGTTAGCCACTGCCTGTGCCTGGCTCAGGGCCACCTGGTATGAGCTACAAAATGATCTGTAGATAATTGCCTTGTACTTGGAGGTGCTTGGAAGAGGTTAAGCTGCCAATTGAAGCCAGCTGCCATTAGTGCTTGTCTTTGGGCTGCTTAGCAAGAGGTATGGGGCATGCCATGGCCAGTGCTGCTTGTTTGGAGTTGGGAACATCTGAGAGGTTTTGGGAAATTATGCTGCAGAATGGAGACAGTTTGTATGGAAAAGTTTCTGGAAGTTACTTGGTTAGGCCTGGAAGTTGGGTTGGATGGAGTCTGAGAATCAGCAGAGTAGTGCAAGTGGTGTTAGCCAGTCTAAATCTTTATGTAGACTCAGATTTGGTGACTGTCTGTGCCTGCAGGCTAGGTGGATGAAAGGCTTACCTAGGAACAATGGTGTCTGTCGGCGTTTCTGTCTGGGAGAAAGCTGTTAATCCAGTCCTCACTTTGAAGCCAGACAATTCATTTCTTACCTGGATGTCCCTGGCACTTTTTGAGCTGCTGCCCCATTGCTAAAGTTCATAATGAGTGAGTCCGTCAGCAAATAATCCTTGTGCCTGGGAATTCAGCAGCCCTCTGTGGAGCCCTGGGCTGGGGAGCCTTGTGGGGGACGTGAGGACTCCTCAACAATGATGTGGGTGGTGAGGAGACTCTGCAGCAAGATATCCCTCCTGGTTTTTAACCACCCCACTATGGATGTGGGGCCTTCCTGATCCATCTTTTTGCGCTTCCTACCAGTCTCCATGTGGCTTCTTCTTTTCCCTCCCTCCCTCCCTCCCTCCCTCCCTCCCTCCCTCCCTCCCTCCTTTCCTCCCTCATTTCCTCCCTTCTTCCCTTCCTTCCTTCCATAATTTATTTATTTGATTAATTGATGAGAGAGAGAGAGAGAGAGAGAGAGAGAGAGAGAGAGACAGAGACATGGATTTTGTTCGACGAATTTATGCACAGGTGGGGTCCCTCTGGGTAGTCTGCAGGGATGAAACCAAAACCTGCAGCTCCTACCTGTTGCTCCTGCTCATCCTGGCCTCACTGTGCCTGCCACAGGCTTGCGCCCAATTAGTCCCGATCTGGAGAGGTTCAAGCTGTCACAGCAGCACTTGTTAGCCATGAACCCTGTGTCTGGTGCCCTCCCAAGGGGAATAGCCTGTGGGATTGGGCTGAAACTGGCTCTCTGACATCCCCCAAGGGGGTCCTTGATTGCAAGAGGGCACAGGCCAGGCTGAAGGACCACACTGATGCATGATTGGGCCAGGGAGGACTCCAGGGCTTGTCCAGCCCATCTCACTCAGTCCTGATTGGCCGGACCTCAGCAGCAAGTTAACCTACCAGTCAGAGCATCTGCTCCCTGGTGGTCAGTGTACATCATAGCGACTGGTCAACCAGTTGACTGCTCCCTAGTGGTCGGTGCATATCATAGTGAGTGATTGAGCAGCCTTAGCATATCATTAGCATATTACCTTTTGATTGGTGTTCAGTTGGTCTGCCGTTCAGTCTATTTTCATATTACCCTTTTATTATAGAGGATTAGTTGTTTCTTCAGTGTGTTCTGATAGACTGGAGATCAAACCCACAACATTGACGTATGGAGACAATGCACTAACCAACTGATCTACCTGATCAGGGTCTGCATATCCTTAGTGACAAAACTTCTGTTCAGCTAAGAGTTAGGCATTCTCATACATGGAATGCTTATTTTTTTTTACATTGTGGATAAATGACTTTACTGCATTTAATAATACCACTTAATATGTATGCTTAAATAACAAAATATTGTGTCTTGCATGTTTCCTCATGCTTTTTATCTAATAGAAGTATTTTTCTTTTAGGTTCAAAAGATGTTGTGATAAAGGCACAGGTTTTAGCTGGTGGTAGAGGAAAAGGAACATTTGAAGGTGGTCTCAAAGGAGGAGTGAAGATCGTTTTCTCGTAAGTCATGTTTTTTGAAGAAAAACCATTAATAAAAAGAAATCATTGTAAAAAATTCTCCTATTTATTGAATTGATGAAATACTGAGATGTCAGTATTAAATGAGATGAGATTTTGTCTATCATGTGCTTTTTGTTTTACTCATTTGGAGGAAAAAAGAATTTGAGTTGTTATTCTTATTTCAGTCCAGAAGAAGCAAAAGCTGTTTCCTCACAAATGATTGGGAAAAAATTGTTTACCAAGCAAACAGGAGAAAAGGGCAGAATTTGCAATCAAGTGTTGGTTTGTGAGCGAAGATATCCCAGGAGAGAATATTACTTTGCAATAACAATGGAAAGGTCATTTCAAGTGAGTAACTGTAGTCATGATATATTTGAGATGATTTTAATACATTCAGTTTCAGACATTGATGATTCTATTTATATGTGTCATAAGCATAATACTTATTTAGTGTTATTTTTTTGAAAATAGCATGGTTAACGCTATAAAGTTTAATATATATTATTGTGGCAAAAAAAGTTACAGACAAAACCCTGCTGAAATAAAATCCACAAGATTTTTAAATTGTTAATTTGCTAAGAGCAACTTAAATCATCCCTAGATTTTATAGACTGAGGAAATAATTTCTAGCAGAGTAAAATATTCTAACCAAAGAGAAAGTCTCTGAACCCAGGAAGAGAATGTGTATCTCTGGCTTCATCGTCTTCTTTTTCATCCTGTTGGTATTTTTTATAGTTTAGGGTTTCTTTCACTAGATAATTTGGTACTTGGTAAGTTGGAAGGTAACATTTAATAACAAACGATATGATTCTGAGGAGCATAACCCTAGTTATGTTTCCCTCTCTTAATGGAACCTAAAATGTTAGTTGTGAGCTTAAGTCATCAGGTGAAGAGAAAGCTTTTCATAGACCTGGTGCTTAGAGAAAACATTGGTAATCATTTTGTACTGTAAATATTTGGCTTTTTGCATGCATTGGTTAAGTTTTATGAGCTGAGTCTGTGTAACTAGCTTGTCTTCTGGAATAAGCTGGATATGTATTTGGAAGCCCTGATAAGGATTTGCTGTAATCAGAATTTTAAGTCATGAAAATATTTTTCATCTGTAAAACAGCTTTTTAAAAATAGTTATTTTCTATATAGTTGTTCCTTTTCTAAAATAGTTGTTCCTATAGTTAATTAAATCTTCTATTAAGGAGTCGTTCCAAGATGGCTGACAGGTAAACACCTAGCTGCAGCTGCACACAACAATTTCAATAAAATACAACTAAAATATAAAATGGACATTACCCAGAACTACAGGAAAGTCAACTGACTGGAAATTCTACAACGAGAAGCAAGGAGAAAACCAGAAGGAAGCGCAGTGGAGCTGTAAAAGCCTAAGGTACGGGGACGCGCGGAGAGGACAGAGCCAGAGAGGAGGGCGGCTGAGTGCCTGGCTGGCGTTCCCAAGCGGGAAGGAGATAAAACTCCGACTGTGCTGGGCCCCAGTTCTGACTGCTCTGAACCCGTTCTTGGCCAGACCCCGGCGACCCAGGCTCACACAGAGGGAGCTGGACTGCGAGGCGGAACCTTAGGGAAGCAGCGAAAGGAGGTCCCGGCGGCGCGCACATTGAGCGCAGAGAAGGAACGGTTGGCTGTGCCGCGGGATTGCCATCGCGGGAAGGAGACTGGGGCTCCGGACTGCTCTGAACGCCACCTACAACTCCACTTCCAACTAAACTGAACCCCAATACCGGGCTCATTGGGAGAAAGCATAGACTGTTTGGCAGCAGGCAAAAATCGAGGGCACCTTTCTCTCAGAGGCGCTTGCAACTAGTACTGAAGGGCACCTTTCTCTCAGAGGCGCTTGCAACTAGCCCGCATAGGGAGGGGCTGATGGAAGCCAAAGCTGCAGGCTCCACCCTGAAACCCCGCCCCATCCAAGCAGAACACAGAGACTTTTAAGGCTACCAACTCAGGAAAGCTGCGTAAATGCCGAGACGAAATAGATCACAAATGAAAGAAATGGAGGACAAAAAGCAACTGGATATAGAGTTCAAATCTACGCTTATAAGGTTTTTCAAGAATTTCCTAGAAAAGATGGATAATACCTATGAGGATATGAAAAGGGATCAACTAGAATTAATAAGAAATCGACAAGAAATGATAAGGGATCAACAAGAAATGATAAGGGATCAGCAAGAAATGAAAAGGGATCAACAAGAAATAAAGAATACATTGTCTGAAATAAAAAATATTATACAGAGTCCTAAAAACAGAATGGAAGATCGTAAGAATCAAGTCAAAGAGTTGGAACATAAAGAGCCAGAAGACACTCCTCCACAGAAGCTAGAAGGCAAGAGAATCCAGAAAATTGAAGATAATGTAAGAAACCTCTGGGACAACTTCAAGCAAACTAACATCAGAATTATGGGGGTCCCAGAAGATGAGAGAGAGCAAGATATCGAAAACATACTGAAAGAAATAGTGACAGAAAACTTCCCCCACCTGGAGAAAGAATTAGGCCTACAAGTCCAGGAAGCGCACAGAACTCCAAACAAAAGGAATCCAAAGAGGACCACAGCAAGACAAATCATAATTAAAATTCCAAGAGCAAAAGACAAAGAGAGAATATTAAAAGAAGCAAGAGCAAAGGTTTATTACTAAAATTTAAAAATCATATTGTTTAAACAAAAATGGATATTCACTCAGCAGTCATGATAAAATTCAAAACTAGTCATTTTGTAAATGATCTGTATTTAACCCATATAAGCTTTCTTCTGACCAGCTGACTACAAATTTTGATGTTTTTTTCTAATTTGCCAGGGAATTAGTACATTAAAACCTATTTATTCATGGTTTTTTTTATGTACATATTATTTCATATGTATTTTGTTTAGCTTTTTATTTAATTTACAGTTAACTCTTAGAGATCTAATCATTACTTTAGTGAGAATTTATATTATCTTTTTTTCCCTAAAAAGTGTTGCTATATATATATATTTATCATTATTATTGATAATATTACAAATGTCTTCTATTTCCCCCTCCTCCTTCCAGCTTCTACACACACTCTCAGGTCTTTACTACCCTGTTGCCCTTGTCCATGGGCTATGCATATCCTCCTATATAATAAATGGGTAATATGCAAATTAACCCTCACGCCCTCACAAGATGGTTGCCTACCACCAGGCAGTCAGGGGGGTTAGTGAGAGATGACCAAATGACTAAACAGTATGCTGCATGGGGTGACCAGGCTGGCAGGGGGGCTGTGAGGGGCAACCAGGCTGGCAGGGGGGCAGTTAGGGGCAACTAGGCCAGGGGTACAGTTGGGGGTGACCAGGCCAGCAGGAAGGCAGTTGGGGGCAATTAGACTGGCAGGGAGGGTAGTGAAGGGGGGCCGTTGGGGGGCAACCAGGCTGGCTGGGGGGCAATTAGGGGTGACCAGGCCAGCAGAGGGAGCAGTAGGTGGAAACCAGGCTGGCAGGGTGAGCAGTAAGGGGTGATCAGGCCGGGGGGGAGGGGAGGTGCACTTAGGAGCGACCAGGCTGGTAGGGAAGGGGCAGTTAGTGGTGACCTGGCTGGCAGCAGGGGGAAGTTAGGGGTGGCCAGGCCGGCAGGAAGGCCAGTGAGGGGTGATCAGACTGGCGGGGGGGGAGGGGGGAGGCGCAGTTAGATACGATCAGGCAGGCAGGCAGGTGAGTGATTAGGAGCCAGTGGTCCAGGATTGTGAGAGGATGTCCCAGATTGGAGAGGGTGCAGACTGGACTGAGGGGATCCCCTCTACCCTCCCAACCCCTGAGCATGAATTTCATGCATTGGGCCTCTAGTCTTACCTAATAAAAGAGAACCATGCAAATTAACCATCACTCTGCTATGTCCACAGCCAATCAGAGTGAGTATGAAAATTAACCCAACAAAAAGGGAGGTTAATTTGCATATGCAAGCAGAGCAGTGTGAAACCTGCTATGAGGGGAAGGGGGATGTTAGAGTGAGCTACTGGAGTGGTGCTCCAGACAGAAGCAGTACTTGTTGGCTCCAGGCAGCCTTGAGCGGGGACATGATGGCTCCCGGGCGGCCAGAACAGGGATTTGCAGGCACCGGGTTCCCAGGTGGCCATGGACTTGCCGGCCTCTGGGCAGCTGGGGTGGGGAGCAGAGACTTGTTGGCTCCCTGGCAGCTGGGAGTGAAGCCAGGGGCCTATTGCATGAATATCGTGCAGCGGGCCTTTGGTTTATCTCTTCTTTGGTTTACCTCTTCTCATTCTCCCATCCTCACATCAACATATGTCAGTTTGTTCCATGCCTCCAAGCTTCATGTCTTACATTGTTGGTCAATTCATTTTGTTCATTAGATTCCACAAATAAGTGAGATAAGGAGATATTTGTCTTTCTCAGACTGACTGATTTTACTTAGCATATACTCTCCATGTCCATCCATGTTGTCTCAAAGGGTAAGAGATCCCTCTTTTTTACCGCTGCATAGTATTTCATCATGTAAATGAACCATAGCATTTTTATCCGCTAATCTAGTGGGCACTTGGACTGTTTCCAAATCTTAGCTATTGTAAATAACTCTGCTATGAACATAAGGATGCATACATTTTTTTCTAATTGGTGTTTTGGAATTTTTAGGATATATTCCCAGAAATGGGATCAATGGGTAAAATGGAAGATCCATTTTTAAATTTTTGAGGAAACTCCATATTGTTTTCCATACTAACTTCAGCAGTCTGCATTCCTTTCAGCAGTGAGCTAGTGTTCCCTTTTCCACATCCTTGCCAGCACTTGTTTGTTGATTATTTATTTTTCATTTTTTTAAATAAGGTATTATATGTGTACATATCTTACCATTGCTCCCCCCCACCCCACTCCCATACATGCCCTCACCCCCCAGAATTTTCCGTCCATTGGTTATGCTTATATGCATGCACACAAGTCTTTCAGTTGATCGTTTATCCCACCTCTCCCTAACCTTCCCACTGTAATTTGACATTCTGTTTGATGCTTTACTGTCTCTGTATCTATCTTTTTGTTCAACAGCAGCTATAGATATTCAGGCCTCTGACAAGATCTACTTTTCCTTTCAAGTTGGCGAGTTTTCCCCATCCGAGCCTGTAGCTCCAGGAGGGGAGCCAGCCGCCGTGGGGGCTGCCCTGTCGGGGAACCCTGTCCAGCAGTCCCCCACCTTCTCCTGGAGTTCAGCTGTCCCTTAGCTTGCTAACAAACACTCCCAGTGTGACACTCACCTGTTTTTTCTTTCTGCTCTGGGACAAGGCTCAGAACACGTTTGTCTATTCTGTTGCCATTTTCTCTGCTCATTTGTTGATTTTTTTATGATAGTTATTCTGACAGGTGTTATAAATCGTAATGTAAATATCTGTGTTTTCTGATGGTCTTAGGTGACCCTGCTAGCAGTTCTAAGCCTGTGGGTTGCGGCATTAGAAAGGTTGAGAACCACTGCTCTAGACTAAAATGTATCAAATGCAGTTTCTGCTCAGAGTTCATTCCTTCTTCCTTTTGAAGTCTCCTATCCAACATCTGCTGTCTGTGTCCATTGTTCAAATGCCAATGTCCTCCTGTTGCCCTAGCACTTCCTGAGGTCATGCTCTCTTCTCTGCACCAGAGGGCAACCTTTGGAGAATACTCTATGATAATTATTAATTAGAGGCCCAGTACATGAAATTCATGTTGAGGGGTTCCTCAGCTCAACTTACACCTTCTCCAATCTGGGATCAGGCCTAAACTGGCAGTTGGACGTCCGTCTCGCAATCCAGGATCTCTGGTTCCTAACTGCTCACCTGCCTGCCTGCCCTAACCATTCTGCCTGCCTGCCTGATCCCCCTAGCTTCCCTCACCAGCTTTGAGGGGCTAAGTGATGATGCAGCTGTGTCTTGCCTACTGTGGCCCACGTGTGTGCACACATGCACATGCACGCAAGGCGTTTCTCCATTGAGTGATAAAGGGGAAGGACACAGAGGCCTTTCCGCCCCCCAGCGCGCCCACTCCCACTCCTTGAGAGGCTCTTCATCTGTTCCCCTCCTGAATTTGCAGGTGATGGGATGCTTGCACAGGCACAGTTGGGTCTGGCTTGTCCTGGGCAGGGGGGGCGGCAGCATGCATTCCGCCCAGTATGTGAGCCCCTATCCAGGTGGGACCGGGCAGATGAATGATTGGCCTGCTGGAGAAAGTTGCAATGGCTTCCCTGTGGTGTGAGGGTGTCTGTGCACTCTCTGTTGTTGCGGCAGGGCCCTTCCTTTGTAGTCTTGGGTCCACAACTTGTCGATTTGCGTGGCTGACCCTCCTGGATGTCACTGCTGATACGCACAACCCGCAGTTGGCATCTGCCGACTCTGCCCCAAGAACCAGCCTTCTGCCATGTGGGTGTTGCTCCTCGGGGTTGGTGGCGTCCCCGGGCAGAGTGCTCTTGGATGGGGCACAGTGTTGCAGGGGTGTTTGTTGGGCACGTGCATTGGGAGAAAAAGGACTCTGGTGCTGGGAACAGGGAAGCAGGGAAGTGAGCCTCACGCAAGTCCCTCTGCTACGCACAGCCTCCTGATGGTCTGTCAATATGCAAATTGGTCGTTACTTTGACACCGTAACAGACAATTTGCATGTTACCTCTTTATATAGACTAGAGGCCTGGTGCATGAAATTCATGTGTGTGTGGGGGTACCTCAGCCCACCCTGCATTCTCTCCAATCTGGGACTCCTCAAGGGATGTCAATTGCCCTCTCACAATCCAGGACTGCTGGTTCCCAACTGCTCACCTACCTGCCTACCTGCCTGATTGCCCCTAACTGCTTCTGCCTGCCAACCTGACCGATACCTAACTGCTCCCCTACCAGCCCGATTGCCCTAATTTCCCTCCTCTGCCAGCTGGATTATCCCTAACTTCCCTCCCCTGCCATCCTAGTTGCCTCTAACTGCCCTCCCTTGCCAGCCTGATAGCTCCCTGTCCTTGAACTGTTCCTCTCTCTTTTTTCCCCCCTGCCTCCCCTGCAGGCCTGGTCCCTCCCAACTGCCCTCTGTTGGTGTGGGTCCCCCCCAACTGCCCTCCCCTGCTGGCCATCTTGTGGCGACCATCTTGTGTCCACATGGGGGCAGCCATCTTTGACGACATTGGGGGGGCGGCCATATTGTGTGTTGGAGTAACGGTCAATTTGCATATTATTTTATTGGGTAGGATTATGCTTTGATTGGTTGGTTTTTCTGCCATTTGGTCTATTTGCATATTACCCTTTTATTATATAGGATGATGGTAGCCTGAGATATTCTTTAACGTAGGTAGCTTTCTATTTTACTAACTTATAAGCCTGGAACTTATAAAATCTGGAACTTTAGTTTATTAGACTTATTATGATTTTTCAGAAAATGCATAGGTTCTATTTCACATATAAATGTTCATATTAACTTGTTATACATTTTGTATATATTTTTAATCTTTTTCCCTCATAGAGAATTATTTTCTTTCTCTTCCTTTTTATTTTTTTTCTATAATTTCAGTTGAACATTTATTATTAAGGGGCATTGTGCAGGAGATATTAGGATAAATTCTCACAGAAATTTAAAAATAGGAACGGGGAGTAAATAGATGCATAAGCCTCATAGTGTGCAAATAGAGGTTTTAAAGTTTTATTGACCAATCCAATAAAAATAAAAATCTTGATGTTTTAGCTATTTCCTCCTCTCCTAGGGTCCTGTATTAATAGGAAGTTCTCAAGGTGGTGTCAACATTGAAGATGTTGCTGCAGAGTCTCCCGAAGCCATAGTTAAAGAACCTATTGATATTGTAGAAGGCATCAAAAAGGAACAAGCTGTCCGGGTATGTTGCATTCCATTTCTAGCTTTTGGTTAAGTAATTATAATACGTGAAGAAAGAGAATCAACTTTGTACAAGAGAAATGATTAACAAAATTTTTTTTAATGTTTTAAGTGTCAAGACATATTAATACCTTGTTTGAAATGGAAACTTTAAGAAGTATCTACAATATTTTTCTTTATATCCTCTATAAATATTTCAATATGTATCTTCAAAAGATAATTGCCATAACTAGTAGAACTAACAGTAAGTCCTTAATATCATTACTACTTATCCTATCATTCAAATTCCCTAATTATCTTTTTTTTTTCTTTTTCTTTTCCACTTTGAGGATCCATATAAGGTCCTTCATTGGTATTCGTTAATGTTTTTTCATAGGTTCTCATCTAATTTATAGGTTTCTTTTCCCTCACTCTGCCGTCTTTTTTCTTTTGTTGTGTAAACTAGTGTGGATATCACATCCCTTTGGTGGCCTTAAACTGTTCCTCTCTTTTTTCCCCCCCTGAAAATTGGAATGGTAGGGATACTATCTTATATAAACAAAATAGATCAGTGGTTTTACTTTTATGGACACTTTTAAGAATCCGATGAAAGTTATAGACTTTCTCTGTGTACATACATACGTGATGATTCTGTTTACAATTTCACTAGTTTTCTGTACTGTTTTTGTGTACTGCTTCCACCTGCCTTATGATTTTGGATAAAAACTTTTTAACCATTTATTAATAGCTGCTACTTCAGTGATTAATGTTTGACTTCATATGATTTGTGCTTATTTAAATAAGTTTTTTATCTATAGTAATTTAATATTGATTGGATATATGTGGCATTCCTGTAATAAAGAGACAAATTGCTTTCAGCTTGCACAGAAGATGGGATTTCCATCTAATGTTGTGGATTCTGCAGCAGAAAACATGGTCAAGCTTTACAACCTTTTTCTGAAATATGATGCAACCATGGTAGAAATAAATCCTATGGTAGAGGATTCAGATGGAGCTGGTAAAGTATCTTGTTTTATCAAACATTGATTACATATTTATCCACCTATTGTGTGCTTTACTAAGGAAGTTGAACTCATAAGGAAGTGAACTCATTTCTGTATAGAGCTTATTTTATAATATTTATCTATCTATCTATCTATCTATCTATTTATTTATTTATTTATTTATTCTCACCTGAGGTTATGTTTTCTATTGATTTCTAGAGAGTGGAAGAGAGAGAGGAAGAGAGGGAAAGAGAAAAACATTGATGTGAAAGAGGCAACATCAATTGGTTGCCTCCCACATGAGCTCTTATTGGAGCTAGTGAATCTGCAAACCACCTTTGGGAATCGAACCCATGACCCTTCAATCTGTGGACCGATGCCCTAACCAATGAGGCATACAGGCCAAGGCATATGTAATAATTTTTTATAATATTTAGGTACACACAGAGGGCTTAAAACTGAATTGTCCAGTATGGTGGCCACCAGTATATTTGGGATTAAAATGATATAAAAATTAAAATATTTCTTGGTCACACTATTCAGATTTCGAGTGATCAGTAGCCACATGGTTACCATAATAGCACACATATAGAACATTTTTATCATTGCACAAAGTTCTTTGGGCAGTGTTGTTTGTTGTATACAGTGTGGTAGTAAACAAGTAGTAGTAACTCTGGAAGAGTAACCATCTTATTCTTAACAAATTTTAGATTTTGAGACATCATAGATCTTTATTTTTAGCCATTAAAGAAGTAAATTAGCTTTTCACTTTGATGCTTTTACGTGTGTTTAAAAGGTAAATCAGATTCTGAATTATGCCTTCCATGTATAGTTGTGTTGTGTTTTGTTTTTTAATTACCTTTCCATCTTTATTATCAACCACAATAATTTGTTGGTTATATTTGACATCTAATGAAATCACATATACTTGTGTGTGTGTTTTTTAATAATGTTGCTTTATTCTAGTCTCAGTTTTGGTCGATATTTTATATTGAGTGCTTCTGTTGCTATGATTTATTTTATTTTGTTTTAGGTCTCTTTGGACATTTTCAGTTTTAAGCATTTGTAGGTTATCTTTCATCTTTATACTTCTAATTAGCTATATTCTTTATGACAGAAATCAAGTTTTTTAGTTAGTCATTTATATGGTTGTATAAAGAAGAATAAGTAAATTATCTTATGATAGTAGAGGTGGTTTATAAAACTAAAACTAAGTAAATTTTTAAGGTGAAGGCTGAAGCACATTTTTAAAATGACACATTCAATGAAGGAGAATTACCTGTATAAAACACCTATTTCTTGAATTATTTTCTTCATTATATTAATTAATGACATTGAAAGCAAGACTCTTGAATTCTTTGTAGTTGTGAAATTCTACAGCTATATTCTATTGCTAAGGGAATTCCTTTGTTCTTTTAATTTAGTAACTTTTTTGTATTCAATTTTCTTTGCATACATTTTTATATGTTTTTAAGCAGTTTTTACCCCCTAAAGGCCCTGAATATGTGTTATAGAAAATTTCCAAAGTGCTAGGAAATACAAATTAGAAAAAATAACTTATTATCCAGCACCCTTTTAATACTTTACATAGCTGGTTCTGCTCAGTGGATAGAGCTGGTTCTGCTCAGTGGATAGAGCGTCAGCCTGTGGACTGAAGGGTTCTGGGTTTGATTCCAGTCAAGAGCATATGCCCAGGCTATGGGTTCGATCCCCAGTAGGGGGCATACAGGAGGCAGCCAATCAATGATTCTCTCTCATCATTGATGTTTCCATCTCTCTCTTCCTCTGAAATCAATAAAAATATATTAAATATTTTATATAAATTATTATAACCTTTTTTGTAACTGGAATAATAGACTATTCAAATTATATTTTTCCCTTTTAAACTTAAAAGTATTATAATAGGTATTTTTCATGTAAAATATTTTTCAAAGATAGAGTTTTTAAGGACCTATATTTATATATAAATCTTTAATAGAAATTATTATCTTTTATGTATTTACTTAGAATTAGATATTTTGGGTTGAAGAGTAATAATATTTTTAACATCTTTTGATTATTGAATCAGAATAACAACATTTTGCAATGTATTTTGCCAGATTGTTGTTCTAACATACCATGTCCATTGCATTGCCTGCCTGTGCCAAAAGTGAGTGTTTCATTAGGTTTAATCTCTGTCAAACTGATAATCAGGAAATAGTGTTTCATAATATTTTCAGTTTTTTATTACTAATGATGTTAAGAATTTTTAATTTTGGTGGGCATGTTTTCCTTAGAAGATGTTAGACTCTTAACTGGCATTTGTTATGAATATTTCCCCAAGTTTGTCCATTGTTCAATTTGGTTTGCTTTTTTTGGACATACTGAAGCTTTTTGTTTTTCATTTAGTCAGGTCTTGATTTAACTTCCATTGCTTCTATATTGAGAGGTGTTTTTTTTCTTACACTTTTCTCTTAAAAATTTTTTAATACATTTTTATTAATTTCAGAGAGGAGGGAAGAGGGATAGATAGATAGAAACATCAATGATGAGAGAGAATCATTGATTGGTTACCTCCTGCATGCCCCCCACGGGATTGAGCCCAAAATCTGGGCAAATGTCCTTGACCAGAATCGAACCCAGGACCTTTCTGTCCACAGGCCGATGCTCTATCCACTGTGCCACGGCGGCTGGGGCTTCTTATACTTTTCAAAGATCAACTTTGAGGGGCATCCAGTCAAGATGGCAGAATAGCAAAACACTGTGCTCGTCACCTCCCACAACCACATGAAAATTATAACTGAACTATAGAACAACCATCATTGAGAACTGCCTGAAGTCTCGCTGGACAGAAGTCCTATAACTAAGGATTTACAAAAGAAGTCGTATCAACTGGTGGGAGGGAAATAAATTTAATGGGCTGGTCCCATACTCATTTATGGCAGATTCAGCTTGGGAGGGATATCTCAGTTGTCAAGGTCTCCCCTGAGGCACAAGGGGTTCCCCTTTTGGGAAGAGAAGTCCCCATAACTTTTGTCGGTGAAAACCAGTGGAGATTGTGGCTCCCGTTGTCCCATGCATTCCTCTTAAGGTAACCATGCTTGGATGCAATCCTTCTGGACTCCAGTGCTAGGGATACAGCTGGAAAGGCATCAGAGACTTTCAGGAGAAATTGAATTGACTGGTTTTAGGGTGAGAGCTGGAGGAGCAGTTTTCTCCAGACAGAAATGCTATCAGAAGCCATTTTTCCTATTTTGAGCCTTCCACAACCCAACCTGCATGCTCAGACAGGCACCATATCTGAGTTTCCATCAACCTTGCTAACACAATTACTTCACCCTAGTGATACTATGAAGCCCCACCTCACTAGCTTGCTGGCCCACCAAATCACTTCAAGTACCGTTTTTTCTTCAAAGTACCTTGTCTAGTCTCATGTTGTGTACTTTCCTAAAATCTCTCAAAGGTTTACAGATGCCAAACCAGCATCTGACTTCAGTATGCCCCAATACCTCCTGCTAAGCAGCCCCAAGCCCAGCACTAGTGGCAGCCAGCCTCAGTTTGCAACTTAGCCACTCCAGGCACCTCTTAAGTCCAGCACAAGTGGCAACCATCTGCAAATCACTTTGTAGCTCATACCAAATGGCCCAGAATGGACATAGGCAGCATTTGATCTTGGCCTGCACCAGAGTCAAGAGGTCCCAGAACTAACATACATGATTGCCAGCTTAAATCTCACCAGAGCATTACCCACTGCCTCCACAAATGACACAACCAAAGGGCAGATTCAGCTGGTACCAGAGCTTTTTAGGGTCAGCCCCTGCAAAACAGCACCTTCATCATAATCTCTGCCAATCCCCACAGCCAGTCAACCAGAGGGTCAAGCCCCTTATTGACATTTGGCATTGACATTTGAACAGCATTCAAGGCTCAACTACAACAGGAAGACACATATGACCCACGCAAGGGACATACCTAGAGCACCTGGTTCAGGTAACCACTGGGCCCAATTGACATGTGCTACGAAGGCCATTGTACCAAGACTGGAAAACATAACAGCTCTACCTAATAGAAACAAACACAGGAGGCAGCCGAAATGAGACAGAAACGTCCCAGATGGAAGAACAGGACAAAATTCCAGAAAAAATAACTAAACAAAATGGAGACAATCTGCCAGATGCAGAGTTCTAAGCTCTGGTTATAAGGATACTCAATGATCTCAGTGAGAACTTCAGCAAAGAGATAGAAAACATAAAAATGGAAATAGGAAAGATAAAAAATAACTAGGCAGAAATGAAGAATACAATAACTAAAATGAAGAATATATTAGAGGGAATCAACTGTAGATTACATGAAGCTATAGATTGAATGAACAATTTGGTCACAGAAACACCCAATCAGAATAGCAAAAAGACAAAGAATTTTTAAAAATAGGGCTAGTTTAAGGGACCTCTGGGACAACATCAAGCATAACAACATTCATAGAGGTACAGAAGGAGAAGAGAGAGCACAAAGGATTGAAAGCCTATTTGTAGAAATAATGATGGAAAAATCCCCCTAACCTGGTGAAGTCAATAGATATCTAAGTCCAGGAAGTACAGAGAGTCCCACACAAAGTAAGTCCAAAGAGGTCCACACCAAGAGTCAACATAATTAAAATGCCAAAAGTTAAAGACAAAGAGCACTTCTAAAAGCAGCAAGAGAAAAGTAGATATCTATCCCAATATGACAGCTGATTTTAGAAACTAGGCAGGCCAGAATGGATTGGCATGATATATTCAAAAGTGATGAATAGCAAGGACCTAAAACAAGATTGTTCTACCCAGCAAAGCTGCCATCTAGAATCGAAGGACGGATAAAGAGCTTCACAGACAAACAGCTGAAGTTCATTATCCCAAACCAGTAGTACAAGAAATGTTTTAAAGGGATTTCTTTAAGAAAAAGAAGGGAGGGGGATTAAAAATGTGAATATTAAAATGGCAATAACTGCCTATCAGCAAATGGATTAAATATTTCAATAAAAAAAAATAGGGTGGCC